TTCTGTGATTCTATGATCGCTTTGTGAATTGCTAGTTCTGAGGTATTAAGAAGTAAAGTTACATTCTAGTTTGCATTGGATAGGTATATGCCAGGGCTTTCATGTCTGGTACCCTCGCTACTTCTTACAAAGATGGTTCTCGTTTATATACAGGAATAACAAGACAGAAAATGTTCAAAGGGTTGCCTGAAGGCTGCAGGTCACTTCTGGCAATCATTAATTTTCAGACCACCGTTTTGCCCATGTGTATTTTATTTCTCCTCACCGTAGATATATAACAACAAATTGCTTTGCAGAACGAGAGATGCTGATTTTAAACTTAGGATGTTCTCTTTGACTTTTCACAAATGAACAGCACAGCAGAGGACGTATGCACATTTTACACTTAGTAATGTTTTGCTGTTCATTTATTTATATGCACCTGGGTGCTTTCCCAATATAACAGGCCATACTTCTTTTTATAATGAGAGCAGTCATTATAGCACAAGGTGCTATAATGAAAGCCAAAATATTATGATGGCTCTTTAGCAGAGTGGGCTGAGCATGAATACCTTGTGTGCTGTTTCTTTCATCTGTACAGTACAAATTCTGCACTAACAGTGTAGTAGCATTTTACACAGAGAGTCAGCATTCCCTAAATATCCTTGTCATACCCCAAGAGAGGGGAGAATCCCATTAACCCCTTTTACAGATGAGGAAACAACATTGGATTCGCATTGTAACTCCATTGATTTCCATGGAGTTATTCCAAATTGACACCTGTAGAAGTAATACTGAAATGAGTCCTTGGAAGATGAAGCCATTTGCTCGCAGCTATCCGGCCAGCTTCACGCTCAGGATTTAAAACTCAACACATCAATGCTTCCTTCTCCCTCACAATAAGACTTTCTATTGAATCACAGAATCATAGAATTGCTCTGGTTGGAAAAGACCTTCAAGATCATCAAGTCAAACCACAACCCAACCATACTACCCTAACTAACAACCCTCCATTAAATCGTGTCTCTGAGCACCACATCCAAACGGTTTTTAAACACATGCAGGGATGGTGATTATGGTGATGACAAATGGCACGTTTATAACTTTAGCCAGGGTCATCTGAAAACAAACAGCGACATAACCAGAATCTGACACTGTTCTACCACTTTGTGCCTAGAAATAATTGCCCTGTGTCCAGCTTTGCATCCTATGGAAATAAATGAAGAAGAAATTATTTTTTACGAAATTCTATCTGACCAGCAATGTGAATGTTTTTTCTAGGTAACTTTAACAGCAGGGAGGAATAATGGGCTTCTGAAGATTGCCAATGAGCAAAGAATGTGAGTTAAAAGCCTTTTTATATGCAAATACTTTATTATGGCTTTTTTTTTCCTTTTTTTTCTTTTTTTTTTCAATTTTTGAAAGCAAAAGCACAATGGGACATCAGTTACTTTCATTTACATATGAATACCCAGAATTCACTTTCAATTTGCAGCTATTCCAGGGCCCTTGTACTACCTGACTGCATTTGAGGTCTGGAGTGAAGTGGGAGTGTACCGACTCCTCGAGTCTGAGTGCAGAAATGAGGGGCCCACGTTTTGCTGCAAAAATTGAAAACCTTTTTGCAAAATATCTGTTCATTTCCGAGTAAGTGGTGGCAACAGCATTAGTGGTGAGGCGGTACAACTTGAAAACACAAATACAACTCTCATGTTTTTTACTTAATCTATTTCTAATGCATGCATTCTAAAAATGGTTAGCTGTCAGCTGTTGTTTGCTCACTGCGGGTTTGGGAACTAGAGCTGAAATCCAGCCTTATATTGAGGATCAGGACGGAGATTCAAAACAAGTCTAAGTCCTACTTCTTAATTTCCATGTTTGAATGGCACTCACTGGCTGAACGGGCAATGACTGCACAGGGCAGTGGCTGAGCCATTCCATAAGTGTTCAAATTCCTTCTTGAAATTAGGTAAGAGGCTTAAAGAAGGTGAGTGTAACCAAATTTTGAGTATTTGAGATGAAATAATACCGAATCTGCAGGCAGAAAAGCTGCTTTCATGCATCAGAGCCAACATTAGGGCCAGCTTGTGTGTAACGATTCATTGACACCTGTGACACCATGCAGATGTAAATTTATATGGAATCTCTTCTGCTGAGATTAATATTCCAACTGAGTTTGATACTCTTGATATTTAAGTTTTGAAAATCAAAATAGGAAATAAAACACTCACTTATTCAGAAATTGTTTCTCACCTGAAACTCCTTCCAAGGGTAAAAGTCAACAAGAAAACCAATTAAGCTGAAGTTGCCAAGGCCAACTCTGAGTCAGAAAATAAAGTCTGCTCAGATTTCTGCAGAACTCCAGAGACTGTTGTCCATTTCCAGAACTTTGCATGAGACAATCAGAGATTGAGAAAGCTTCTCTAATCTTAAAAACAAAATGTATCATTTAAGAATGTATGAATTGATTTCTTTATTGTGACTTATGCAAGTAATAATTTACCGTAAAGTTGCCAAAGAACAATTCACTAAGAACTAATACTCAGAACCTCAACTTGTAAAGGCAGTTTGGAAAATACTTATCACTGTTTCATTATTTCCATCATCCACAAGTACTGCTTTCCTTTCTCTGTCATGGATGGCTCTTTCCTAACACAACTTACCATCAGGTGGGATCTATATCTGTCTCATGTGGCAGCACTTGAATGCGTAAGAGATGCTGGTGGGTCTAACATTCTGTGTGGGAAACTTCTTTTGTAAACATTAATAAAAACCTTACTGTATCATGAATTAGAAAGTCTTTGGATTTCCTGAACCTTGAACTGTTTTAGCCAAATAGCCAAGAAGCTGAATTCTATCTTATTGGCTGATGCTTGCTTATTCACCTTTACATTTAATTAATTGGAGTAGTAGAAAACAATGAGTCTTAGATGATAAAAGCTGAGATACACAGATATGTTCTCCCTAAGGAAAATGAGTGATTTACCTGTGGATTTTTGGTCTTATGTGGTGGGGATGTGACCCCACACTGCTCTGTCCATTCTCTGTCTTCTCACCTGCACCAAAGATATCAGCTGAGCACCCCACACCACAGAATATTCTTTCTCAGGCTCAGAGAGCACCAGATATGTGCTGTGATAACTTACCCGGGGTTACATTCACCCAATGTTTGAAGAACTCAGGCTCCTGTTAAGCTTGCTTCCTAGCAGAGGCTTGTCATAACACAAAATGGCAGGTCAGTCTGGGCTGTGGTAGGATCAGCCAGTACTTACCTAGCATGTAGGCTTCTGATGCCTTCAGAATTGTGCTCTCCTCATTGTCATTGTAGCTTTCAGAAGCACAGAGTAGGAACTGAGGAAAACACATGCTGTCAAGGTGAGTTTCCTTACAGGATCTGTCTTACAAATTCCTATCATACTATCAAGTGTTCAAAGACAAGTATTCGCACAGCTACTGCAGTAGCAGCCAAATGAAGGGCCCAAAATTTAGGGATTTTTAGGTTATAATAATGCTTCCAGTTCAGAAATAAGAATTTTCATCTCTCTTCTCTCCAAAGAGGCCTATGGTTGCTGTGCCAGCATGGAAATCCAAGAATGTGGATACGATCCAGCTCTTCCACAAACTTTTGTTTTGCACTTAGGCAAGCAAGCATCGCTCCAACTCCTTCTGCAGTCAATGGAACAACTCCAGTTGACAGCTCGGTACGGGCCCTTATGCTCTCAGAACACATATCCATTTGAGCAGGCAGCAGTCATTGATATTACCAGACAAAAAGATTGTGACATGGACCTATTTCCAAACAAAAGAGGCTTACGAGCCAGTTGGAAACACAGTGTATTCATTTTCTTTAAAGATAATGAGCAGCGTGATCCAATAATTTTCTCTTATGCTTTTCATAAAGCTCTTAAGGCATTTCATAATCAATTAACAGCTCAAGCACGTCATCATTACAGAACATTTTGCAATAATCCATTAGGAATTAATGTAGAGGGAGCGTTCCATCACTGCTAACAAACTGCAATCCAGCTAGGATCCATGCCAAGCAGATGGGCTCTGCATTTCCTAATGAAGACAAGATATGCTCTGCAAGCATACTGCTGGGACTTGCTCTTCCTCTCCTTCCCAACACCTGCATTTCTGGTGGTTCATATTTAGCCTTTTCTCATTCTGCTGGTGAGATTAATAAAATCCAGGCTTGCTGTGCTGCATGACCTTCAATCCAAATAGTTAGGCCTTGATGGATCATAGAAAATGTGCTATGGAGTGGTTATATATCTAGAATGCAAATAAGTCCCTGAAGTGGCTTCATGTATTTCTGAAGTCTTTCTTAACAACTCTCTTTTAAATATCCTTTTGCCGCCTCTTCCTAAATCTTCCTGTGTTTTTTGTTGTTGTTGTTGTTTTTCCATTTAATAGAACTGGTTGTATCCCTGCCTCCTTGGATCAACCTCAGCAAGAGGGAGATATACCAGTGTGGGCCCAGCTGTTGTCAGATGCAGCAATCAAGTGCCTGGCTCTCAAGGTACTTAGAGCAGCAGTAGCACCTTGTATTCCAGGCATGTGTGGCTCTAAATTCAAGCTTGCACCTGAACAGCTCCCTCGCCTGGCAAGAGCAGTCTGTTCCTTCCCATCGTCAGCTCTTTTCGTGGATCACAGGCTCGTCTTCTGCCCAGCAACAGTTTGCAGCAAGTTTAATGTAAGCATCTTATCCTGAGATCAGCAGCAGGAGCTTACAGCGTGATTTGCAAGGAAAAAAGCTTTACGAAGATTAAAACGCCTTTAGATGTCTGACACTGGGGCCCCATACTGGCAGCATCACACGAGATGCAACTTTTAAGCAGTTTAAGCAAGGCATGTTTTTGTTTTACAAAGGCAGCACGCAGTCTGTTATTATTAATATTTTGCACGAGAGACGTGGCAGTTTCCCAGTGCTATGCCAAACAATACAATTTGATTGCTTCTGCCTCTTGTCAAGCCTCCAACTGTAAATATGCAACGTGAAACGAAGTCCAACCCGACAGATAAGGGTGTGCTGAGATAGATAGTTACAAAAATACCAGCATAATTAAGGATTGGTATCAATACCAGAAACAAAATAAGCCCAGAGTTTTGAAGGTTCAATTAACACTGCGGGATTGTAAGACTACCAATTATATGTACTCTTTATCAAGTTGACAGAAAAAAATAATCATAAAATAGAAAAATTTGACACTAAATGCTGCACACTAGGAATGTTTAATTTATCTAAAGGTTTTCAGGAAGATTTTTCTGTCAAACAGAAACAGGAATATAAAGTGTGTTTTTGCAGCAGCTGTTGCAGCAAGGTAGTGAGAGACTGCTCTGATCTTTTTGCTAATATGTACTGCATCACTATTACATGCTCAGACCTATGGCAAATGCAGCAGCAAGAGAAGGAGAAGCAGTAAGGAGAATGAATGCCAGTGGCAGAAAATGCTAACAGTAACAGATTACATAGAACATGAGGGATTCCTTCTGTGCATGCCGCATTTGTAAAAAAAGTGAAAAAAAAAAAAAAGAGAAAACTGAGTTCCTTCTTTTCCTGAACCAGAAAATGAAGAAGTACTGCCTGTAAGAGCAGTGCTAAACAATGAATTGTTCTTATTACCACTGTACCATTCAACTTCAAAACCAGCCTGCCTCGCTCCAGCATCCAAGCAGTGGAGTGAGGCTTGCTGTTACCTGCGCGGTCCCTAACTCCTGCTCTTGTGCATTGTTTGTGAAAATTATATCTGCCCTTGATACTTTTCAAGGATTGGTCCCTCCTGTGTCCAGCTTGGCTATCAAAGAGAGTAATTAATTCATGAGTCTTTAATTCCATATTTACAAAGATATGACCTCTCTTCTTTGGAGAAGAAACGCAGCCTGCACACAACTGCTAATTTATAACCACAGTCAGGCACTGTGAGGGGAAACAGGAGCTAGGGAAAAAGTGAAAGAGTGAGTTCTCATTGCCTTCAACTGCCATACACAACCAATACAGAAAACAGAATCTCCTTTGGGAATATCCAAGAAAAAAATGAATGAAACAATTCCCTCCGAAGATATGTTGTCTCTCTTTCTCTCCCTCCTGCTAATCACACCTTGCCTTATGCACACTCTGGTTGTGTCTCTCTTTTAGTTGAGGGGGATATTCATGCAGTGCTAGCTTCACTCAAAATGAGAATATTCTTAGTTTATTTCCCAAAGTGAATGTATCAATTCAACCAGCTCATCAACTGGAAATTGCTGCGCTGTGAGCCAACCCAGCTCTCTGTGTTGACAACTGAGTGATGCGGATTGCTGACAAGCTCGACAAAACAGCCATTTCACAGTTGTGAGCTGCAGAGGGACGGAGCCAATGTCGATTTCCAGCAGAATGCTTTCCCAAGGAGTTACTGCTTCATATCCCTCTCACGACACATCAAGCATTATGGATGCTCTACCCTCTTTCCTTCTGCCTCGAAAATAATACTGCAGTGATTTTTCTAACTAACGATTAACACCAGAGGAAGGAATATTAATGTCAGCAGTGGCCTTGTGACTAACGTACTGCTAGGAGGTTGCTCAGATTAGATTCAGGCTAAGCTCAGCTGGATGGTCTTGATAAGCCTGTTCTAGCTAACAGCTCTCTGATAAGGAGCCCAGATGTGAATGCAGTCCTGGATACATGGTTGCTTCTTCTGGCTTCAAGCTTTGAGCTTGTGTTTCCCACAGGGAACCATAAGGACCAGGTTATAGGGCACTGCTGGCCACCTCTGCTGAAGCTATTCTGCTTTGTGTAGAATAATTAATATTCACAGGGACCTGAGTGATTATGGCTCTCAAACCTAGTGACTAACCCTGGTGTCTGCAGAGGGAAGGGGGCTTCCCATCTATTCTCCAGGGAAAGTATGAGTTTTAATTTACTAAGTACTTTAATGAAAATGTATGATGAGTGCTAGGCAGGAAATGCACAATGATGCAGGCTTACATTTGGCCAAGACACAACGTGGCACCAAACCTCTTTGCTAGGGAGCATCTTTTCTACTTGCTTTTGCAGAGTTGCTCCGGTGCCTTACTAAGTGACTTGTAACTGTTATCAGTGCAGCACTCCAGGTTAATTCTGGCTGTTGTAGGATCAAATAAGACTGCATGTGTTCAGCGTGGTGGAGGAGTACCTTCCTCTAACTACAGCTGATGAAGAAGCAGGCAGCTACGTGCTGCATGGATGTGCAGGGGGATGTTTAATCATTACCATGAAACTGCTGGGCAATAAAAGGATATGGCGGATCTGAATAGGTTTCTCTTAGAAGTGAAACCTACTTCCAACCTGTATTATGAGTTTGACACAAATATTTTGAATTACAACACTTTGCAAACACGATTCATCCACTCTTCAGAAATTAGTAAAAGGTTCCCATTGATTTCAGAGGCTCACAAAAAAGGCTGACTCCAAACCTTTGGTGTTCATGTTTGAGAAGTAGTGATAAACCAGATTAGTTACACCTGTTATCGAGACAATTTTCTTTGATTGTGCCATTTCTACAGAAGTGGAGTTTTTATATGGAACTATCCATTTCAAAACCATTTCTATCAGGAAAGAATTCCAATCTTCCTCTTAGGACATTCTTCAAATGAGAAATGTTGGTCTTTACCTTCAGTACTCTGTCATTTAGCAATGAAGATCACATAAGAATAACTTAAATTACAGAATCATCATAGAATCATAGAATGGTTCGGGTTGGAAGGGACCTTAAAGCCCACCCAGTTTCCCTGCACTGTGCAGGTTGCCACCACTGGACCAGGCTGCCAAGGGCCCCATCCAACTTGGCCTTGAAAAATGTTTGGAATAGATTAAGATAAGACATTGTAACTCACCTAGGACTAATTTATTTTTGTCTGACAGTTTCACAGAGATGATTCTCATCCCCGTTATCTCCCTGCTGCTCCAAAAAATACTAATACATAAATAAACAGAAGCTTTTGTCCCACTAGGAATACAGAAACCTTCTGTCCCATCAGGAATAGATTTTCACAGTCTAAAAAAAAAATTTTCCAGGCCAACTCTTCCAAATCTACGATGGTGTCTCAGAGCTGTAAATACCATTTGCAGATCTCACACCTGTGTTTTGCTTATAGTGAAAGAAACGTATCTGTATAGCTAGGGCAGGTTTTCCATGACAACGGTGTGTACTTCTATATTTCTAATAGTGGTAGTTCTTAAAAGCACAGGAATAAGAGAATACAGACAAGAACATTACAAAAAATGGCACCAGCAAGTATATAACAGCTGAGAATTGGGTAATGCATAGAGTAGCTGAGCTTGTTTAAGTGGGTAATTGTGTTAGTATTGACTCAGTGTAACTATATCTCATTCCTAAATGAAT